CTAACGTCCCGCTGGCGTGCGGTCGTGCCCCATTCCCCGCTCCCCCCCCCCCCGTGTGACAGACACACGTGTGCTTTCACTCTGAAGCACTTCACCCTCGAGCACCTGCCTGGGATCCGCGTGCCACGGGGGTTGCTCCGTGTTCCCCGGGGCAGCTCTGGCATCATCGCTGCGTGCCCCCAGCTGCCCACTTGGCGAGGGGTGGCCAGCCAGCACTGGAAACCCTCAGTTCTGGGTTTGTGTCCCTCCTTACAGGCCCGTGGCACGTCTCTCATTGCTGCCCACGTCCCCGTGGCCTCCGACCGCGTCCCTGGTTCCTGCGAGCTTCCATGGGAAAACAACTGGCTTCCTGGCCTCCCGGCTGCCAGCGGCCCCAGGCCTCGCGTGTGCTCCGGGCAGCAGGAGCTGCCAGGTGGCTGGGACGAGGCGGTGGCCACGGGGCCTGAGCGGCGCTGGGCCAGGGCTGGGAGCCAGCGCCTGGTGGGGCCCTTGCAGATGTGCTGCAGGATAGACTGAGCTGGCTGTCGGGGCAGGTGTCAGTGGGTAGATGGGGGCAGGTCTGACTAGTGTGAGCTCATGCCTGTGCCAAGCTGTGACACAAATGCACGCACACATGCATGGATGTGTGTGTCAGGGCTGGGCTGTTTGGGTTTTTTTAACCTCCCCCAGAGGCGCTGGATGCTGCTGCAGCCCAGGCTGGGGGTGGGGACTGGGCTGTGCCGATGCTTCAGCTGCGACCGCCCTTGCATGGTCTTGGCTAGAGGGTCTTGCCCCTGTGCTCAGGGTCAGACCGATGCCATTTTGGAGGTCAGGAAGGGGTTTTCCCCCCGGTCAGACTGATATGGATGGGAGGGGGTTGCCTTCTTGTGTAGTGGGGGCAACCCACGCTTCAGTATAACCTTTTGCAGCAGCAGGACGTTGGCAGCCGCTGCTTTCCCCGTGGCAGGGCTGGGTGTGATGCCTGGCGCTGTGTCAGGGGTGACTGGAGTTTTATGAAGTTTAAATGCCGGGTTTGTCCAGCTGGTTTGGACAGGGCTGCTCCTGCCTCGGGCACGGGTTGGGCTAGATGTGACCTCTGCAGGTCCTTCCAGCCCCACGGCTCTGGGATTTCTATGCATGCAGGTCTATATGCGCAATGCACCCACGTGCACACACATCGTGCACACACATAGTCTTGCACCCATACACACGTGCATAAATGCATATACACCAGGCAGATGCAAACATGTGCCGACAGATTTACACTGACACACATGTGCATTCACATGTATGCACAGAGATGCACATGGGTCTATATGCACATGGATGGGCACACGTGTATGCACAGTTATACACATCACGCACACACATGAATGCATACACACCCTGCAGACGCACGTGTGCACACACACACACACACACACACGTGTTGAAGGATGTCTAGCTCCTCACAGGAGCTGATTTCTTCTTCCCTGGGGAGCCCTTTAGCCCCGCTTTCACCCCAGATGCAGCGCAGCGAGAAGCAACCGCACCCAGCCTGCTTTGAAGTGGTCGGCCCTCGGCTTCCAGGGTAATCGGTCTCTGCGTGCCTGGCGCTGCAGCTGAGTCCCACCGCTGCCCAGGCATTGCTACCCGTTCCACCATGAGCCTGGGTGGAGGGCGTGCAAGGTGGCTTCTGGCCAGGAGGATCAGAAGCAGAGCCAGGGAGCCCCGCCATCACCGAAAGGAGAGCAATAGCCCTACTGCTGTTGCCTCCGAAAGGAGCCCTCCCTCACTCATACCTGTGGTGGTGAAGCCGGAGGACAGGCAGGGTTGCTCCCCCGTGCCCCAACTGTGCTGGACGAGAGCGGCTGGCACTGGAGAGCGGGCTGCATGCATGTGCGGTGCGCGTCTTGCTGCCTCGGGACCGGGAGAGGTTTCTTTTGATGTGTGACCAAAAAAGTCAGTGAAATGCTGGGCATCATTAAGAAGGGAAGTGAAAACTCAACAGAGAGCATCATCGTGCCGTGATAACGATCCTTGGTGCGCCCACATCCTGAATCCTGCAGGCAGGTTCTGGTCCCTGCCTCTCCAAAAGTGTGGAGTGGAGTTGGAAAAGGTCCAGAGATGGGCAGCCAGAAAATGATCAGGGCCTGACCAGGACGGACTAGAAGATAAAGGCCGGGACTCTTCAGTTTGGAGAGGAGAAAGCGGAGGGGGAGTAGCAAAGACATCTATATAATCGCAAAGTGAACAGGGAACAGTTGTTCACCAAGTCCCAAAACACTAGGACGAGGGGGCACCTACGGGCATGAGCAGATGGTAGGTTTTTTAAGACAAAGAAGAGAAAGGACTTTTTTGACTCCATGCGTTGTTAACGTGTGGGACTCACTGCTGCGGGAGGCGGTGGAGGCGGAGAGCAGAGGTCAGCAAGGGACTGGATATGTTCATGGGCGATAGATCTATTCATGGCTACCGAACAGAGCTGCTGGAGACGTTTCCTCTGGCATCTCTAACCCAATGGGTGGTGGAGGACAGGGTGGGTAGCGAATAGGGGATAGATCCCTCCAGAGGTACCCGGTCCGACACTCACCCTCGAGCATCCGCTCTTACCGCTGCGGAAGATGGGCTGGCGGGACCCGTCTGGCACCACTGATGCTTTCATGTTCTTGTGAATGGAGGCGGGTGGGCAGGCGCAGAAGGGAAGAGAGGCAGCGAGACAGGGAGCTCAGCAAATGAATACTCCCGGGGGACATTTGAACTGGGGCAAGAGACGCTGAGCAGCTGCTGCCGCCTGGCACAGGAGCCTCCGGGATGTGCCTGCCAGCATCCGTGGGGGCCCTCCACCGGGATTCAGGTCCCTGTGGTCTGCGAGGCTGGCAGCATGCATGGGACATGGGACATGGTGAGCTGGGCTGGCTCTCGCAGCACCCTGGGGAATCGTCAGCAGTAGAAGGCGTCGGACACGCGACAGGGCAGTCTTGGCACTGTCGCCAGGCTCCAGCGTCTGTGCCAGCTTCCCACCAGTGCATCTCAGGACAGCTGGGGCGGGGTGGGGTGGGCCGGCGCTGGGACCTGGTGGGGGCTCTGTCTGCCTGGGACAGGCCTGTGCCACCCCTCGCCTGCCACGGGCTGCTTAGACAGCTGCCGGCAGGGCTGCGGACAAAGCCGGCACTGTGCATCCCCATGGGGCGGGGTGGGTGGTAAACACAGTGCTGGCGTGGGGTCAGGGCCAGGGCACCTTGCCCTGTGTTTTGGCAACAGGGCGGGGGTGGGAGGCTGAGCGGAGGAGCCTGGACAAGGTGCCCCGGGAGAGGGCTCTGCCACTGACTCTCTGGGCGACCGTGTCCCCGTCACTTCTCCCTGTCTCAGTTTCCCCTCAGCTTTGGGTTGTCACTTCTGCCCCATGGCATTTCTAGAACCCAAGACAAGGGGTTTATTCTCGGGGTGGGGACCTGAGAGGCAAAGGGACTTGGCCACGGTGACCGGGTGATGCAGTGGCAGAGCAGGGGTGGCGTGGGGCCTGGCCGCGCCGCTGACACCTCCCCCTGGCTCCCCGCAGGTTCCAGAAGCACGTCCACACCTACCGGATCCTGCCCGACGAGGACGACTTCTTGGCCGTGCAGGTGGGAGCTTCGCACAGGGTCAAGGGACCCCACACGGGACACAGGGCACTGCCACGCATGGTACACACTGCACAGCACTGCCACACCCAGTTCACACCACACACAACATGGCACACACAGAGTATGTGCAGTGCACAACGTGGCACACCCACAGTACATGCAGTGCACCACACAGCACTGACACACACAGTACATGTAGGGCACACACACAGTATGTGCAGCACACAATATGATGCTGCCACACACAGCACACAGCATGGCACACCCACATGCTACACAGCACACATGACACAGTCATATGGTATCTGCAGCACACAGCATGGCATACCCACACATGGTACACAGTACTCAGCGCACAACCTGGTACACCCACACATGGTACACACAGCGCAGAACACGGCACTGCCACACACCACGCGTGTGGCACACAACGTGGCACACCCATACGCTGCACTCAGTGCGCAACACAGCACTGTCACTCACCATGCACACTGTGTACAACATGGCACACCCACACATGCTGCACACTGCACAACATGGCACACTCACACAATACATGCAGAGCACAAACTGGCACACCCAGCCACGATACATGTAGTACACAACACAGCACACACACACTCAATGCACACACTACACAACATGCCTCACCCGCAAACAGCAGAGCAAGGCAGTCACATGCAGGATACAAGGGACACGCTCACACATAACACACACAGGACACAATGGACCACAGCCACACTTGTTCCACACAGCGCACCAGTGGACGCACACCCATGCAGTACACAGAAGACGCCAGACACGCGGGACGTCCCCCTCCTCCCCCGCCACACACACACACACCCTGCACACAACAGGACACACTCGCACGCCTCCCCCCCGCCAGCTTCCGGCAGCCAAGGACGTCGAGGAGGCGGCTGCCACAGGCAGGCTGTCATTAGGGCCGTCCTCCGGCTCCGTGCCAGGCTCTGGCCCACGAACCCATACGGCCGTGCCCCGCTCCCAGCTGCAGCAGCTGGGGGTGCCTGTGTGCGCCGCGGGCTCCCCGCCGGGCCGGGAGCATGTCGGGGCCTTGCAGAGGCGGCTGCTCTGAGCAGGAAGTCGGCCGGTGCGTGGGAGAAGTATTTATAGCCAAACACTGGCCCCTTTGTGCCAGTCCAGCAGACAGGAAGGAGCCCTCCCTGGAGAGGGCTGCAGCCTCCTCTGCCAGCCCCCGCTCAGCCCAGGAGAGGCGGCTTGCAGGGCAGCCGAGCTAGGGGCCCGGTGTGTTATCTCCCCACGCATGCCCCGGCATCCCACCCGCCGGCGCCCCTCTGCCCGGACAGCACGGCAGCTGCTGGAGGGGAGCAGGGCGGGTGTGATCCTGTGGCCTGGCATGTGCATGCACACATGTACGTGGAGGCGGACACAGACACGGGCTCTCCGGACTGGCCGCAGACACCTGCCACGCCAGGGTGGGTGAGGTGTGTTTCCCCAGTGCACACGTTGCCCGCTTACCTCCCTGCCACCCAGCAGCAGGTCTCAGCCCCTCGTGTGTTTGGGGGTCATGCCTCTGGCCGAGCCCGGACCCCTTCCCCATGCACTTGAGGTCAGGGGTGCCCTGCTCAGCTGGGGAAAATGAAGCACGGAGCAGCACGGGGGCTGTGCCGGGTGGTGTCAGAGCACGGCACGGCTCCTTTCATAGGAAGGGCATCGGATGTGACCTCACGGCAAATCAGAGGGGCACCCCTGCCCCCCCAGTAGGACACAGCCCCACTGTAGGGAGGTGCATCCAGGGCCACGGTGCACATGGGGCCTCCAGCTGGCAGCTCCAGGGGCACCTGCCTCATTGCAAACAGGAGGTGCCTGCCTGCTTCTCTGCTGGAAGGGAGCCCGGCCTAGTGGTTAGTGCATGGGGAGGAGCATGCCCTGCATGGCTGAGGACAGCTGGAGAAACATGCACAGAGCAAGGCAGCACCCGGAGCCCCTGTAAGCAGGGGCTGGTGCGTGCCTGAGTCAGCCCAGCCCAGCCGAAGCGGTGAGAGCGCCCGAGCTGAGCAGCCTCAACTCCGCCGGGAAGTGACCCCACGTGCCAGGAGCCGTCAGCCTCCAGGGGCAAAGTCCAGGGGGGTAGACCTGCAAATGCTGGTTCCTGAGGCAACCCGGGGCCTTGCAATCTGCCTGGTGATGTCCTGCCTCCCAGGCTGGGAGGATGGGCTGCTTGGGCTCTCCCGGCACGGGGGCCATGAGGCAGTGCCTTGTTCCCTAGGCATCCCCGGGGCAGAGGTGCTAGAGGCCCGGCAGGACCGAGTGCAGTGCCCAGGTGCAGGGCCGGGAGCCAGGATGCCTGGGCTCCGTTTGTGGCTCTGCCCTGGCCCAGGCTGGTGCGTGCCCAGGTGGGGAGCAGGCAGGCGAGTGCCCCGCTCTCAGTGCTGATGTCCCCTCCTGCCCCTGTGCCCCCAGACATCGCAGGGCGTCCAGGTGAGGCGCTACAAGACCCTGAGCGAACTCATCACCCTGTACCTGCAGCCCAACCAGGGCCTGGTCTGCACCCTGCTCTACCCTGTCGAGCGCGACAAGGACAAGGAGAACGCCGAGGACAGGGATTACTCAGGTGCGACCGGTCTTTCCTCCCGTGGCACTGGTTACCAGGGGTCCCAGCCTGGTCTGGGGGTGAGCTGGGCCAGCTGGCCTCTGGTAGCTGCAGAGGAATTACCCTGACCCATCTTGGCCTCTCTCTTCCAGATGGCGAGGATGAAAAGCCCCCATTGCCGCCGCGCTCTGGCTCTACCAGCTTCTTCATGGTCAGCACCGGGCCTGGCTCGGCCAGCCTGGGACCCACAGCTGCGCCGGATGGGGCAGTTGAGAGGTAAGGGCCTCCAGGCATCCCAGCCCCTGCGCCAGACCGTGCCCTGACTCTGCCCTCACGCCCCCACTGCCTTTACACATGCATGCACTCTTGCACACTCCCTCTAGCCCTGCCTCTGCCCCATGCCCATGTCCCCGGGTACCCATCACACACTGCCTTGCACACTCGCTCTCCTGCCCTCTCAGTGCCAACGGCCTCAGCACCATCTCGCACGAGTACCTGAAGGGGAGCTACACGCTGGACCTGGAGGCAGTCAAGGCGGGGGCCAGCAGCTTGCCCCATCTCAACAAGACCCTGGTCACCTCCTGCAAGCGCTTGCATAGGTGAGCACTGCTAGGGGGGCGGGTGCTGGCAGCTGGGGGGTCCTGCCACCCTCCCCCCCGGGGGCATCTCATGGCACAGGCGGTGCTGCCCTGTGGTTCTTCCCCCCTGGCTGCCAGGATCGGAGCCGGGGCATCAGGTTGGGCAGGGGCTTACAGCTCCATCTGTCCACCTGCTGCCTGCCCACCTCTCCCCCCTGCAGCGAGGTGGACAAGGTCCTGTCAGGCTTGGAGATCCTCTCCAAGGTGTTCGACCAGCAGAGCTCGCCCTTGGTCTCCCGCATCCTCCAGCAGGTAGGGGGGCGGCGGGGGCAAAGCGGCAGGGCCTGGGCCCCCCTGGCTGGGCACCCCGACCCCAGGCTCCTCGAGGCATGGGGGGCTGGGAAGAACCAGGGAGGGGTCTGTGGAAGCCCCTTCAGTCACCACCACCGCAGCTGCAGAGCCCTTGTCCCCTGCTGCCCCTGGGGGGTTCATCTGCCCACGGGGGACACAAGGCGGGTTCTCACCGGCGCGGTGCCATGGCTGCAAGCAGCGGAGCTGGAAACTCAGCAAAAATCAATGCCCTCCCTTGATGAGCGCATTAATCGTGCCCGGCATGGTACACACCCCATGGTCAGAGGCATAGCGGGTCCCTCTGCCTCAGTTTCCCCATCTCTAAAGTGACCCTCCCACCCCCTGCCGACACATAGATGTGCTGGGGGGGGGGACACAGGAGGGACACAGCAGTGTT